CCAAAGGGGATCACATGACCCGGGGACATTGCAACCGCCATAAACATGAACCAGTGGCAAGCATCCAAATTCTGATCACGTGACCATGGGGATGCTGCAATGGTTGTATGTGAGAAAAATAGTCGTAAGTCACTTTTTTCAGTGATGTGGTAACCTCAAACAATCACTAAATGAACTGTTGTAAGTCAAGGACTACCTGTATTGTAACAATGACACAATGAAAATTATGTTGCTTCATTTGAAAGCCATCCCTTCCCGCTCAGAAATCCTGAATTTCTTGAAGAGGTTACAAATTTTACATATTGCAAGTGATAGAGCTTTGACAATGATACTACAAATATGCTTGTATAAGAAATCCTTGAATCTGGCTACCCTATTGCCTACTTTCATTTCGTTTGAGACATAACAGCCTTTGTTGAGAAACAGTTATTCCTATCGGAAAGTCAGGAGACTAATTTTTGAAAGCCAAAAGTTAGGGATGTATGAACAACAGGGTATAGAGGTCTCCTTCTGTACGGTCAGAAAAATCAAGATGGCAGCCATAACAGTGCAATCAAACCTTAACCTGTTTTTATGCGCATTGTCCAGAATTCCTCCAAGATATTGTGGCTGCCATCTTGAGTTTTTTTGACAATACCCTATGGACACCCATGGCAGGATACCTCTTACTCAAGAAATATACTAAATTTAACTGAAGGAAAAACTAGTCAACCCCAATGGTTGACTTTTAAAAAATAAGAAAATTATCTTAGAACAGCGAGGAATGCAATAATCAAGGCAGAATTTTTTTTCTTTTTCTGATAATCATTGGAACTGGTTGCCTGAAATTCAGGATCGTTTTTCCACGGGGTGCATACAATGAGTTAAAATATAAAAAAGAAAACTGGCGATTTTTGGAGAGATCCATTTCTTACTTCATTAATTCCTCCTCTATCATCATTGTGCAAGTTGGAGAAATTCAGTCTAACACTGAAAAGCATCCATCTATAAGATGCTTTTCCCCCTTCATTGGTTTTGCATCATCATCCCCAATTACTATACTCCAGAATTCCCGATTCCTGAATTTCCTTTTCATTATTGTCATATGAATAGATGCTTCTTCTCACAGGAGGACAAAAGGAAGCGTAATGGGATTAGATTTATCCATTTAAATCAACACTGTGTATATAAAGCCACATATATGTAAAGCAGTTATGGGTGTCAATTTGAAGAAGGGGAAAAATGAAGGAGAGAAAGAGCTGTTTCCTTGCCAAGTTTCTGTTGGCATCAGTGTCTAAGTTGTGCTGATAAGAAACAGAATGTACAAGGAACATTTAGATGAGAGAAGAGTTAGATTCCTGGCCTTTGAATGCTTTGAATATAATTCCAAGGAAGCTATTCAGATGTTCTGCAAACTTAGCACCTCTTATATTAATTAAATCAACCCATCTTCCTTTTCACAGAAGCCTGGGGAAAAGGGGGGGACAGTGGTTCTTAGATTCACATAAATTTAATGATGGAAACTTTCAGGATTGTCATCCTTGCTAGTCCTGGCTGAGATGCCACAGGATCCCTCCAGGAGTTGTCCCTAAATCTAGGATGTGCAATGAAGTCGGAGATGCTTATTCAATACATTGAAAATACAACAATATTAAGTATAATGAATTCAATGTATTTAAATACACTTAATGAAATCAAAAGAAGGTTTCTGTTGTGGCTTCCTCTACATCTTGATTTATCCCTCACACTTTTTCAAGCAGTTCTGCCTGTGCTAATTAACTAACGAACAAATAATCTCATTTGCCCAAAGCTGGAAACAACAACATGCTCCAACAAACACAATGATTATAAAAAAGGTGCTAGAGTGTGCAGAATCAGATAAGTTAACGATGGAACTTAAGGACAGAGAGGAAACGATTTATTATGAAACATGGAAGATGGTATGATTGGCTGGAAAAGGAATCTAAAATTAATGGATAGTGTATAGCAAAAGGGAAGATACTACAATGGAATGTTATATTTAATGTGTAGTAGTTATCTATATAAAATGTATTGATTATAAGAATAAGTATGTAACAAACAAAATGTATATGTATACAGTTGGCTGAAAGATAAATTGGATATTACTAAAAATGCCGGTATTGGAAAGCTGTAAATGTGTAACCAAGATTTAAAGATGTAAACGTTGAATAAAAACAATTAAAAAAAAAGACAATGTGGCAGGGAGCTTAGAGATACCAAGAGAGGCATCCAGGAGATATATTGTTTTCTATATAGTCAATTTGCTACATTTTTTGAAGTGTTTTGTTTTGCACATGCCTGCCTAATTTATTACTCTAGCTATTCATTAGAAACATATTATGTTTTAGCTGTCTGTGTATAACTTTGATGTGTGTCTTGAATTTATGGCTATTCCCTGTATGTTGTCTTCAAACATAAGGACAAGATAACCTGTAGTCTCCTAAATCCTACTGGGGAACCATATGTATACTAAGCTTATAAATAAATCTGTTCTATAATATAAACCTTGTAGAATCTGAATTCCATTATAAAGATTTAATATTGAGGATGGGACCTCTACTCTTTCAGTCTAAGCTATCTTATTGTTGAACTATTTGGGCTCAGGGTTTACAAGAGAGATCATCTTCATTCCTCAAAATTCTTGTCCTTTTTCAAGACCAGGTGTCTCCAAACTTGATTACTTTAAGATTTGTGGACTTCAATTCCCAGAATTCCTTAGCCAGCTATGCTGGCTGGGGAATTCTGGGAGTTAGACCACAAGTCTTAAAGTAGCTAAGTTTGAAGGCTCCTATTCAAGACTGTTACAGCTGGAGTGCCTCCCATCACTCTCTTCCCCTTAAAGGCACAGATGAGGCCAGGTACCAACTATTCCTCATGGTGTTTTGTTCATTCCACCTTTTTTCCCTCTTGAAAAAGACAATGTATGGGCCTATCTCTGTGATGGCAAACCTATGGCACGTGTGGCAGAAGTGGCACGGAGAGCCATCTCTCTGGGCATGCCAGCCGTCGCCCGTTGTTCTTCTGGCTTCTGGTACCCACGTGTGCGTCGGCCATCTGGTGTTCACGCACACATATGCAGCAGAAACTGGAAGACGAGGTGACCAGATTGCAAGCACACACCAAAAAAACAGAAGCACAGCTTCCTGGCACACGCATACATGCCGGGGAGCTGCTCTTCCAGTTTCTGGCGCTCCCATGTGCGCGCACACTCCCGTTTCGGCACTCGTTGCCGAAAAAGTTCGCCAGCATTGGCCTATCTAGTTGTTTAGAACATCTCCTCTATTTCAAAGTAGGGAGTGAGATCATTCATTCGATAAGTCCTCCTCCTCAATGTTCTCTAAATCAGAAGGTGAAGCATGACCTTGGATTTGGTCCCTCAGCTCAACTGAGTTGTCTGCGTTGTTTTAATAGATAGAGCAAGTTATCATATATATTACAAAGTTCAATTGGTAGATTACAACTAATTAACAAATATTAAAGGAACAATTCATATCCTTCATCATTTATGAAGCAAACTCTGTTTACATTGCTCAATCTGGCAGAGACACAAAAGAAAGAACTATGAAGAAAGAGATCTAATTCTGATAAATTTGCCTTTTCTTAGCTGAGCTTTGCAGTATACGTCCTGAATTCTTCCTATCAGCCTTGCCCCTTAAAGTATTAACTGCATAAAATACACCATTACCTACATATATTTTTTTAAAACAAACTTTTATGAGTCACAAAAAAACAGCTTTAAAGACATTTGAAATATGTACAGTATTAGCTTTTGGCAACAGCAATTATTCTAAGCTTTTTGCGATTGTTTTCTTGGTAAATGCTTTAATTTGTTAAGCTTCATATAGCAAAAAGAGAAAGTTACTACCCAAATTATAGGAATTCCACAATTTGCTATTGTTGTTTTTTTCTTCTTTAACATATGCACCTATAAAGCATGTGGATATTAGTTCACCTGAAAGTTATTGAATAAATCATGTAAAAATCTCCTTCCAATTGAGCTTGGCTCAAAGTGATTCTAGGTATGATCTACTATAGTACAGCAGGCATGAGCAATGGAAAATGAGGGGCAAGTCATCTGGCCAATTGATTGATTAATCAATCATTTCATTTCCCTGTGATGATCTGTCCCTAACCTGATCTTTTACAGTGGATGCATCACCACTGTAACTGAGTCCACCTTAATGTTAGTCATCCAACTGGACAAACAGAGTTGATATAGTCTATAGCAGCGGCCCCCAATCTTTTGGGAACCAGGGACCGGTTTTTCCATGGACCAGAGAGGGGTATGGTTTTATGTGCTGCCTGCATCACGCAGATGGCGTTTTGTTTATTTGCACAGCCCGGTTACTGGCATGCCGCAGCCCAGTGCCAGTCCACAGACTGGTGTTGGGGACCTCTACTCTATAGTATAGATGCTTTATAGAATAAGTTAATGAATAGAAACTTGGGTCTCCTTCATAATTCTTTATTTATTTAATTATTAAATTGCTATGCTGCCCATCTTATTATGCAAAGTGACTCTGCATTCATAAGAACTGAGTAACAGTAAGTTTTCCTAGAATCCTAAAGCTAGAGGGAGCAATTAAGGCCATAGAATGCAAAACCTGCTCAATGCAAAATTGAAATTCGAACATTCCAAGGGTAATTTCTAAGACTTCCTTCCTTCTTTCTTTCCTTCCTTCTTTCCTCCCTCCCTCCCTCCCTCCCAAGATGCTTGAAATATTTAGAAATGTAAAGCAAAAGATTGAGATTGTAACTTTTGTGTATTTTATTGCTCTGAAAAAAGTTGGAAAACACTACTTCCTTCCTTCTTTTCTTCCTTCTTTCCTTCCTTCCTTCCTTCTTTCTTTTCTATTTTTAAAGTACATCATATTGTTGGAGTCGCATGTATATTCTTTTTCTTTTATTTAATACAATCAATTAACTTGTAAGAAAGTATGGTCTTTCTATGAATCATATAAATAGTTGCAATTTCATATTTCTCTCTTTTTTTAAAAAAGGGGATCTGCCATTGCAAAAATCGTAGGCCAAAATACCAAAAGCTCCAACCAGTTTGACCCGGTTGTCAAGATGTGGGTATTTGAAGAACTAATCAATGGTCGAAAACTCACTGAGATCATTAACCAAGAACATGAAAATGTGAAATATCTCCCAGGGCATAAAATACCTCCAAACGTGGTAAGTGACAGCAAAACATGCCACAATGGTTTCAGTTTTAAATGATATTCCAGTTAAAGTTCAAAGAAAGTAGAACAAGTAAGTAACTTAGGCGAGAACAAATTACAGCTCCCAAATACATAATGTGACATTGAAACATAAAGGATATAGGTGAGATGTGTTCAGTGGGGCCAATTGACTTATCTTGATTGCCAGAAAAAATTTAAAAATTCCAAGCAGAGTGTGCCATATAAAATAAACTAATGTTTTAATTATTTTTTTGTGGTCATAATGTACGTTCAGCTGCAGCATCCTGCATCTGATCTCTTCTCAGCATGTTATTTTATTTCATTACTTTAAACAATTTACAGTATATAGCTACCCATTTCACAACAACAGTGGCTTTAAGCCAGGGGTCTGCAACCTTAAACACTCAAAGAGCCATTTAGACCCGTTTCCCACAGAAAAGAAAACACCGGGAGCCACAAAACCCTTCCTGTGCCTGACTATTTCCTGAGCGGCCACAAAACTAGCATATGTAGTTGAATTAAACGTTCTGTTTTCTTCTGAAACTTTTCTTTTCTTGGATTTATCCATGGTTGGCCTACCGGGGGTTGAAAATCACATGCCGGCGGATGTCGCACATTGGCGGTTGTGACATATATTTTGAGTGACGGAGCTACAGCAGAGGGGTGAAAGAGCCACATGCGGCTCCAGAGCCGCAAGTTGCTGACCCCTGCTCTAAGCAGTGCCTATTAAAATAAAAAAACACCACCATGTTTTAACTCTGCTTACAGCCACCTGTTTAGTGTCCATTTGAAGTTACAGTAGTATTGAAAAAAGTGACCAATGACTGGTCCTTGCACATACAATCATTGAGTATTCCCAGTGGTGGTATTCAGCCAGTTTTATCTGGTTTGGGCGAACCATAGCGGCGGCTGTGGGAGGCTCCGCCCACTTCCCTGTATGTCATCACGTCCTGTTTTTGACCCTCTGCGCATGCGTGGAAGGCTTAGCACGCGCTCACATTTGCGAACCGGTAGCGAAGGTAAGTGAATACCACCCCTGAGTATTCCCACAGTCACAGGATGACAAATCGGGAGCTTGGCAATTGACATATATTTGCGATGGTTGCCGTGTTCCAGGGTCACAAGATTGCCATTTGTGACCTTCCCAGCTGGCTAGCAACAAGCAAAAGTCGATGGGATGCTGGATTTGCTGAACGAGTGTGTGACGCACTTAACAAACTGCAGTGTTTCGCTTAACAATCGTGGCAAAAGTCATAAAATCAGGTGCAACTCGCTTAGCAATTCCCTTGCTTAACACTAGTTCAATTGTGGTCATAAGTCAAGGATGACCTGTACCTATAAAAAAATAACATTCCAAAAAGAAATGATGTAAATGTGAGATCAAAAAAAACACACCTCACTTCATTTTTAATTCTAAAAGTGGAATGAAAGACATAAGCAGACTCACTTAACCTGTCCCCCAAAATGCGGGAAATTGGCAATTACTGGCCAAAAAACAGTCTGTTTTCTGCTGGCAAGAAAGAACAAGATAAAGCGCCACAACATACATACAGTGCACATGATGCCCCACTAGGACATAGGCACATACTCTATAAAGAGGTGCAGTGATTCCATTCTGGGGCAAGGCCTGCTTTCCTTTCTCCCACTTAGTTGCAGACACCCACTGCACATTAACAGAACACTAGACCAAAGTGTCTCAGGCCATTTTCATTGCTGAAATTTAAAAATCTACCTGTCCCTAAAGAATTCTGCACAGGCAGACCTTGACTTATGGCCACAATTGAGCCCAAAATTTATGTTGCTCAGTGTGACGGTTGTTAAGCGAATCACTGCAGCTCATAACACGGTTGCTAAGTGAATCTGGCTTCCCCACTGACTTTGCTAGTCAGAAGGTCGCAAAAGGGGATCACGTGACACTGGGGCACTGCAACTGTCATAAATGTGAACCAATTGCCAAGCATCCGAATTATGATCGAGTGACCACGGGGATGCTGCAATGGTCGTAACTGTGAAAAACAGTCCTTTTTTCAATGCCGCTGTAACCTCAAGCAGTCGCCAAATGAAGTGTTGTAAGTCGAGGACTACCTGTATTGTCAATGTAAAGCTGTGCAGCTTTTCTCTCTGAATTAACTGCAAGAGAAGCCCTTCCTTCTGTGTGGCAGGAACAGAATTCTGTATGGAATGTTCTCAAATAAACTACCTTATGTGGTCCAAGCCTCTTGTTTTGTTAAGGAACCTGAATCACCTGTTGCAATTGCTGTAGGAAACACTGATGCTATGTGTACAAACCGCATGCTTTTAAACACCCGTGTGCAAACATCGCAATAAAGATAAGTATGTGTGATGTTTAGATTGTGCCAAGCATATGTTCCAGCTGTCTGCATTTTTCACTTTTGCACAAACTGTTGAGCAAACAAATATTTAAGGCTTGTTCTATGTTCTCTGTGCTTGATTGTTTTGTTGTGGTAAACGTCTCCCGGGGTGTTTTCCTCATTCAGTATTCGGTAGGAGAGTGCTGTAATCTTTTTTCCTCTCAGGTTGCTGTACCAGAAGTAGTAGAAGCAGTAGAGGAATCTGATATTTTAATATTTGTCGTACCTCATCAGTTTATTCCCAAAATTTGCGAGCAACTTACTGGTCACGTAAAAGCAGGAGCAATTGGGATTTCACTGATCAAGGTAAGGAATGGCATCTTCTTGGGATAGGTATGTTTGACATATGTTTTAAAATATGAGGATAATTTTGTTATTTTATTGTTAACCCCCTTAAATGCTACTTATGGGAGAAAGCTGGAGTATACAGCAATTAAAAAAATAAACAGTTCAATAAATACTTACGCATACCCATTTTAAAAATAACTGATGTAAATATATGAAATATTGCTCAGTTTACACACTGCATTAAGCCATAGTTTGTATAACCATGGTTTATGGAACAAATCACATTTAACTAAGCTTATGGTTTATCCAAAGTATAAATCATAGTTTAAAAATCACAATGGCTAAGTTCATACAATCTAGAAACCATAAAAACTACTGTTGGGAGAAATATCCATCTGGTTCAGTTTCAAGCCGGGAGAATGGCACCAGAGGCAAAACTGAGGCTGGAAGTGGATTGGAAAGAGGGTCCATTTCAGAGGTAGGTTTCAGCAGGTTCTGACCAGTTCTGCAGAACTGGTAGCAGAAATTTTGAGTAGTTTGGAGAACCGGTAGTAAAAATTCTGTTCTATTCTATTCGCCCCATCTATTCTCTGCCCCTCAAGTCCCAGCTGACCAGGAGGAAATGGGGATTTTGCATTAAACATCCCCTGGATTGGGGACAGAATGGAGATTTTGCAGTAATCTTCCCCTGGAGTGGGGTGAGAATGGAGATTTTACAGTATCCTTCCCCTGCCACGCCTACCAAACTATACCACACCCACTAAGTCACACCCACAGAACTGGTAGTAAAAAATTTTGAAATCCACCACTGGTCCATTTATTGATGAAGCAGAACCACCAAGCACGTGTGATTCTGGGTAGCTGACCACATAGAGTTGAGTGTGTGTGTGTGTGGGGGGGGGGGGTTATAGCTTTTCTTGGGCTTTGCAGTTGAACTTTCTGTTCCTGTGCAAGAACATATATTCTATTGGCTGTTGACAAGACTCTCATGGTGCCATGTACAAATCCTAGGAGTTTCTCTGAGCTAAGCTTGGTTGGAATTTGGGTGATGCAATGAAGAGGTTTGTTGGGCAATTCCTATTGTGCCTGAGGGCTAACCCTACCTTTGTTCAGACCTTGCTGCAGGGAGTAATGGATTACCAAATCTACATTTCTAAAGCTGGCCTCGGTTTAGTATCTGCTTGGGGGTAGGGAGCCAAGGCTCTGAGGTTCTGTCTCCCTTAAGATTTTTATTTCTCTTTTAGGGGAAATATTTTATCCTGCCTTTTTTTAACATTTCTCAAAAATTTTCATTCTTCTAGGAGAGGGGTGGGTGCTAACTTTCTACACTACATTCTGCTTTAACTCCATGTGTGAAATTAATCCATGTTTTTCAGTAAAAGGATTTGGCATTCTGTACAACTTCTTTTTTTTTAAAGCATTATTGTGGAGTAGGGGTGTTAAACTTGCGGCCCGCGGGACGGATGCATCATGTGCTGGCTGCGGTCCTGCCTGGTTTAGCGAAGGGGGGAAAAAGTCCTGATACCTCATGTGATGCCGCCGTGACGATACGAATTTGACACCCCTATTGTAGAGGAATACTTTTAAGAAAGGGAGATACCATACTAGGAATCCTCAAAACTATGTTTATTCCATGGGTGGGTTCTAAATTTTTTTACTACAGGTTCTGTGGGCGTGGCTTGATGGTCATGTGACAATTATTTAGGATTTAGCAGAGGTACTGGTCTACCAGGCTTTTAACTGCTTGCAGAGCTGTACCGATCTACCCATTTATTTTTGCAGGCACTGATCTACTCGTGTATTTTTGCAGGCACTGATCTACTCATGTATTTTTGCAGGCACCGGTCTACTCATTTGTTTTCTTTTAACACTGATCAGCTGTAGGGCGGCCCTTTGAAGCCCCACGGCAAGAGTTTAAACAGTTTTTTTCCCTCTAGCCATCAGCTGGGACTCAGGAGGCAGCAATAGATTGGGGGTGGGGCCAAATAAAAGGTAAGAATAACGCGGGGTGGGGGGGCAGGGCGGGCAGAACCGGTTCAGTGATGTCATATCGTCACCGCTACCGGCTCGGCGGAACCGGGAGGAACCCACCACTGGTTTATTCCCCTTTATTCGTTTTAAAACTCAACTACAGCTTCAGGGTCTCATAAATGCATAGACAAGCAGGTTGTTTTCTGAATACTGAATTATAGATCAATGCTTCATATGTATTTCAAAACTGAAGTAACAATTGTCTTGAAGTGGCTTTTCCAGGCTGGTTTAAACATTAAGATTTAAAAAAAAAACAACCCCCACCCCCACCCAAAAAAACCTTGAGTGGTGAGTCAGTCAGCAGATCACACAGATCTTGGTCAAAGGTCACTTCTCCTTTCTCTGGCTTTCAGCCCTCTTTTACTCAGTGGGCATATACCATTTCTGTTTTTGTGAAGACCTTTCACCTACTTCTAGAAAACATAATGATGCAAATACGATTAAATTAGCAGCGTACACAGGATTATATGTTGCCATGGAGGTATCAGTTGACATATGAGGTCGGGTTAATTAGCTGCTAAATGGAATATTCCACTACGCTTAGAATTTATGGCTCTGCTAAAAAAATGTTAAAGAAGCTCTCCTATTGAGTGTTAAGAGAGGGATTTGCCATTATCTTCTTCCAAGATAGTTTTTAAACTATCTAACAGCCCAGCATTCCCATGTGGACCAATCAGGTTCAGCCTTGCTTTGCTTCCCAGATCATGCAAAATCAGCCTGGAGCTGCCCCACCGACCAATGACAGCTTTGATATGTAAAATATTTCCTCTATAATTCAGAGCCATTATTTTGCTTTTCTATGTTTGTGTATATCTTACTTTATACCGGTAGCCCTCAACTTAGAACCATTCATTTAGTGACCTTGTGAAGTTACAACAGCACTGAAAAAAGTGACTTAGTTTTTCACACTTCCAACTGTTGCAGCGTTCCCATAGTCATGGGATCAAAATTTGGTTGCTTGGCAACTGGCATGTATTTATGACGGTTGCATTGTCCTGGAGTCATGTGATCACTGTTTGTAACCTTTCCAGCTGGCTTCCAATAAACAAAGTCAATGCGGGAAGCCAGTTTCGCTTAATGCCTGCATGGTTCACTTAACAATTGCAGTGATCCATTTAATAATTATGGCAAAAAAAGTTCACACAATGAGGTTAAATTCATTTAACAACTGCCCTGCTTAGCAATGGAAAATTTGGACTCAATTGTGGTCATAAGTCAAAAACTAACTGTAAGCCTTTTAAAAATCTGTTTTAAAAAGCATCTTTTTTCGTTCTGATTTTTTAAAAATGTTCTTTATTGTTTTTATCGTGATATTATACTTTTGGAATTGTAAGCCACCCAGAGTCATGGATGGGTGTCTATAGAAATTGAATGAATAAATAAATGAACGTTACAAAATCAGAACATAGCAACTGAACTGAATCAGAAAATACAATGTACCATCATGTCAGGGATGCTCAGCTGACCTTCTTAATATCAGGCTTGCATATATGGTACTCATTTAGGCTACCCTTACTCTCTGTGATGGAGTGTGTACCTGGAGAAGCAGCAGAGGGGAGTCTTGGCAGCACAGAGCTTTCCCACAGTGGAGGAAATATATAGCAATAGCAAAAGCATTTAAACCTATATACTGCCCCATAGCACTTTACAGCACTCTCTGGGCAGTTTACAATGTAAGCATTATTATTATTATTATTATTATTATTATTATTATTATTATTATTATTATTATTTGCATATTGCCCCAAACAATCTGGGTCCTCATTTTACCAACCTTGGAAGGATGAAAGACCAAGTCAACTTTGCACCCCGTCAGGATCAAACTCCAGGCTGTGGACAGTTTGCCTACAATACTGCACTTTGACCACTGCACCACCATTCCACCAAAAAGCCCAATTTAAAAGACTGTGCAGACCCAAACTGGATGGGGAGGGAGGAGCCACATCGTGTAATCTCTCAGGATTTATCTATTAGGGTTGAAGGCTATGGCTTTAGTTTGGCAAGATTCTGTCCATTGGGCATAAGCAAATAAAGCTAGGACTCGGTTGGATTTTGCTGTGTCATTACTGAGCTTGGACCTAATATGCAAACGAATGCTGCATTGCTACTACAAGTTACGGCCTCAAACCCTGGAAACAAAGATACTACAGCTTGAATGGACTGGTCATCTCTCATGATGTACCCTAAGGGAAGCTTAGCTTCTAATTTTAAATGAAACTGAAATGTCAGTTCCCAGGAAGGAAGAAAGGGGAAAAAAACCCTGTTTGTTGCAGCACTGGTTCTTGGGTAAAAAGGTCATCCTTAGGTCTTCCTTGCCCAATTTTCAGAGAAAACAACTGGTTCCATAAAGTAATCTATTGCAGCACAGTTCAACTTGGTTTTTCGTTGCTTTGACCCCTCTTTTTTTCTGTTAAATAGGGTATAGACGAAGGCCCTGAAGGACTGAAACTCATCACGGACATCATCCGAGAGAAACTGAAGATAGATATGAGCGTGCTCATGGGTGCCAACATTGCCAATGAAGTGGCAAATGAAATGTTCTGTGAAACTACCATCGGTAATTGACTCATAAATTATTGGTCTGTCACGCTAGGGAAATAAATCCACTACTAGCAGATGGAGTCAGCCAGCTTCTTTTTATAACCGATCGTATCATGGATAATAGTCATAGATTTTTATCAGCCAAGATTTTGTGTCCTTTTCTTTGTATGCTATTGCAGCATTTCTCACACCCTCTCGTTCATCTTTTAAATTTGCATCCTGATTTTTACACAGAAAGTCCAAGGCAGTGGATGTGGTTCCTTCCTACAATCCTCCAGCCTGGCTGGGAGACAGTAATTGATCAATGTCACTAAGTAAAATTCATGGTCAGATGACCCTGTCCTGAGTAATATCCGGCACTCTTAAATTAACTGTGGTTTGCTTAAACCTCAAGTTTATTCAACCCATTTTTCACGAACAACGGAAGGCACAGAATCACAAACTAAATAGCTTCTTTATTAAACCAATCAGCGTATTGTAGGAATGCAGCTGGTCCATATTGCAAATCCAGATTTTCCTCATGGTCCCTGTGGCACACTGAACTAGTTTTAATCTACTCTCCCACCATACAGCAACTACTGTAAAAACCAGCTAATCTCTTTTATTTTCTTCTAGGACAGTGATGGCTAACCTTTTTGCCATTGCGTGCCAAAAGCGTGGGGAGCGTGGGGGGGTCGCGGGTGCCCAAGCCCACATCCATAATTCAATGCACCCTGCCCTCCCACGCGCGTTCCCCCCCGCTTTTGGCATGCAATGGCATGGTGGGCCCAGTAGAATATTGATCACGTGACCGTGGGGCTGCGGCAACGTTCTGAAAAACAATCATAAGTCACTTTTTTCAGTGCTGTTGTTAACTTCGAATGGTCATTAAATGAACTGTTGTAAGTCGAGGACTACCTGTAGAGTCTTTTCAGGAAGCTTGAGATAAAATCAATGCAATCAGAAAGAAAACATGCATATGTGTTTTATTTTTAAAGAATCATAATTAGTATCCTTCATTATCCCATGGTATAATTATTTTACCTGTATTTATTTTTTTATATTAATATTTCACCACAATTCACAACTGACTTTGCCATTTTACTATTAAGAATATAATATAATCTTGTTTTTTTCCTCAGAAAATCTATTTCTATTTCATATTTATTTCACTGTCTTTTGATCAACTTGGAATATTTCACCCAATAGCTAATTTTCACAGGAAAAGTGTCTCTCTTTTAAACATTTTCTGTATATTTTTGACACAAAGACATTTAAATGAAAAATCATACAGGAAATAATTTTATCCAGTCAAATGCTTTCTTCTATTGTCAGTTATAATTCTAACGCATGTGCTTCTTTTCTTAGGTTCTAAAAATGCTAAAAATGGGAAGATCTTAAAAGAATTAATGCAAACACCAAATTTCAGAATTACTGTGGTGGATGACTGTGATACCGTGGAACTCTGTGGGGCCTTAAAGGTTTGTTATTCCAAGGAAGTAGTTGTAGTTGTGTTCATACGATATATCAGGGGTGTCAAACTTGATTTCATTGAGGGCCGCATCAGGATTGTGTTTGATCTCAGGGGCTGGGGTGGGCGTGGCCAGGATGAGTGTGGCCAGCTCAACATCACTCGTGTTGGGGGCACCTGTGGTGGTCCGAGCACTTTGCAAGTGAAAACGGGCTCCCAAACTCCATTTTCAGCTGCGACGGCCTCCTGCAACCCTCTGTCAGGGAAAATGGAGTTTGGGAGAGCTGCACGCGGCCCTCATGAGCTCCGTTTTCGCTGGCAGACGTACAGCAGACCTGTCTTTTGCTGTTTCCAGGGCGGCCCTGCAGGCCAAATCTAAGCACGTGGGCCGGATCTGGCCCCCGGGCCTTGAGTTTGACACCCCTGCGATATATTAAGCTATACTATGCTTAAATGTAACTTACCGAATAATACTCAAGAGCTAGATATATGCAACAGATATATATTAAACCATCAGGCATGATTAATCTATCTTGCTGGCTCGGTTCACATAACACTCTGAGCTATAAACAAAGTCACCACATTTTAATATTTGTGTGAACCCCACCATAGTTAAGCCAAATGCAGGTCTCTAGACTGGGTTTTCTGCTTAATTGTTAAAATGTGTCATAAAAACTTTACATACTGATTTTTAATTGAGTTTATCACCAGTAAATAGAAACAGTATATCTTTACATTCTAAAGATTGATTAAATACACCTATGAGGTCTGTCTCAGGTCAGTAGCTCTAATATTAATGAAAGCTGTTCAACTATAGTTACTAATTGAGTATGCAAAGTGCATGCTTTTTTTTTAGCAATCATTTTTCATGATTTTCTGCTTTAGCATCTTAATCCCTTAATTCTGACTAATGAAGGTGGAGCAGAGGTCAAAGTTGTCCATTATTAATACAAGTGACTGTTTGTGTTATCCAAGTAAAACTGATCTTGGGCATGTTTAGATCAATTTGACAGTACATAGTAAATTCAATCATAAAATGCAGGTAGTCCTCAATTTACAGTCACAACTGAGTCTAAAATTTTGATTGCTAAGCAATACAGTTATTAAATGAATCTGGCTTCCCCACTGACTTTGCTTGTCAGAAGGACACAAAAGATAATCACATGACCCCAGGACAGTACAACCGTCATCAATACATGCCAGTTGCCAAGCATCTGAATTTTGATTACATGACCATGACGATGCCTCAGCGGTCGTGTGAAAAGTGATCATGTCACTTTTTTTCACTGCTGTTGTAATTTGAAATAGTCAACAAATGGTTGTAAATCAAGGAGTACCTGTAATTCAAATTCAAATTAAAGTGCACTGAAGGTGGCACCTAGGAATGGAATATTATTTTTATCTCATTCAGGGGTGGGTTCTACTTACCTTTACTACCAGTTTGCATCGTGCCTGCATTTGTTTATTTTAGAATATTTTTATTATGTTTCAAAAAATCTGTTATTTTTATGTTTTTCTCTTTGTCCTATGCAATCTTCTGAAACAGAATTATTACTACATAAGAGCCATATATTTTTAGCACTAATTACAGTCACTATTTAGAACATTAAGCTGTAGTTTGTTCAGCCATAGTTTTCAGTTTTTGCTAGCTGGGTTTGTTATGTATTAAAACTATAAAACATAATTAACATCTGGATTAGCCTGGCAGCCTAGTGGGTGGTATCAAAGTGGTAGTTATGGGTCTTGTGTGGGAGAACCCAAGATTTGAAGGTGCTCTCTGAGCTTGCCTGTTTTCTTGCAGATGTTTCATTACCCAACTAGGTAACATCATCAATGCTAGTAAAGAGTGGGGTTTGCTCTTTGTTATTAGAACTCAAGATTATCTGATGTTTTAAATTGCTAACTTCTTTTTTCTTTTCTTCTTTCTCATTTTTCCATTGGACTTTAGAACATTGTGGCTGTTGGAGCTGGTTTCTGTGATGGGTTGGGCTTTGGGGACAATACCAAGGCAGCTGTGATTCGCCTGGGCTTGATGGAAATGATTGCCTTTGCTAAAATCTTCTGCAAGGGCACAGTCTCGATAAATACATTTTTGGAAAGCTGTGGGGTTGCAGATCTGATTACCACATGCTACGGGGGACGTAACAGGAAGGTGGCTGAAGCATTTGCACGTGGTGGAAAAGTAAGGACATGTTTTGCTATATTCCCTTCATGAAGTTGGCTGCATTTTTAAGATAAAACTACATAGACTAGTAGAGCACAATTTATGGGAAGTAGCCAGAGATGCTGCTGGCTGAGAGGGGGAGGGCCAACATGTTTTTGATTTGACATGCCTGATAATATCCTGTATATATTACTACAACTCTCATGTTTGTAACCTTTAACTGGACAAAATAGTTCATCATGGGACAAAACATTTTCAACCAAGGTACCTCAAGTGGGCTAACTTAGAAAGCATCCAAACTCTGGGATCCATGACTCTCACGGAATTGACATTTGGTAAATTTTATAAACCATTTAATGACCTAAAATGATCATAAAGCATTTTATGACGTAATAAAAATGTCATAAACCATTTCCTATGGTCAATGCCTGATGTTTGACTGGGCTCTACAATTCAACATGCACTACTTTGAAGGCAGATGTATTTGTGAATATCTCCCTGAATCTTTAAGGGAGATATTAATTTTTAATTAAGAAGTTTTCAAGTACAGGTAGCCTCCACAGTCCTGTGATTTCTTGAAAGTCAGCCCTTATAATTGAAAAAAGAAACCCTCATCTTTATAAATTTGAATTGAGACTGCTTTCACACATTGCAAACACGGGGAGAATGCATCGCCTCTGAAGCAGATTCCCCATTATTCACTTACAGCAATAGCAATAGCACTTAAGATTTATATACCGCTTCACAGTGCTTTACAGCCCTCTCTAAGCAGTTGTACAGAGTCAGCCTATTGCCCCCAACAATCTGGATCCTCATTTTACCCACCTCGGAAGGATGGAAGGCTGAGTCAACCCTGAGCCTGATGAGATTCGATCTGCCAAATTGCAGTCAGCCATCAGCCAGCAGTCAGCAGAAGTAGCCTGCAGTACTGCACTCTAACCACTGCACCACTGTGACTCATCTCCTAGCGTCAGCTAATTATCTCTGAATCCATATTTCAAAAATGAAGATGGGCTTTATGTTGTTTTCAACACAGATTGAGTACTGTTAGAAGATACAGTAGGTGCCTGAGGATAAATCAGTTTTGTGAACCCAGCCAACTGGTTCATTCAATGGTTAAGGTGTGAATGCAGGTTTAGCGTCACATGTAGCTTAGCTCTAAATTATATCATTATAATAATACATTTCATAATTTTAAAACCATCAAGCTCAAGTAAGTTTAGAAATTGCTCCAAAATCCTGGTTATTAAGTTGTATTGGAAAACACAAAAGCAGGATAAAGGGTGCCCTTTCATTGCTAGAGCTTTAAGACGTTCAGATTTGTTCATCAGCTTATATAGAATTTAATGCCATTTCCTTTCATTCTAAAACAAGCAATTCATACTTTGCCTATTTTAGACAATTGAACAGTTGGAAAAAGAAATGTTGAATGGACAGAAGCTACAAGGACCTCAAACATCAGCTGAAGTCTATAAGATCCTGAAGCAGAAGAATTTGGTTGACAAGTAAGTAGTTTGTTTTTAGATACTAAATACACCTGTGAGCAGCCATGGGTCATTCAGAACATTTTAACTATAATCCTGGGGGTTTTGTTATTTTTGTTGGCTGCAAAAATCCAGAGCAATATTTTCACTAGATAATAGTGAAGAATCAGATCTCTCTCTCCCTCTTTGCTGCTCTCTAGTGGTCAGAATTTTTGCAACCCAGTTATACTAGTCCTAATTTTAGGCATGATATTATTATTATTTAATCTAAAATTTCCAGTGAATTGAGACTACAACTCAAACTAATTCAACTTAATTTTTGTTGTTACCCTTATTGGTATAGCTACTTAGTTATACAATGTCCAATTATTATACACCCAACAATCATATTTGTACACCTATGTAAACAAAAAAATGCAAAGCTACTCACAAAGAGGATTATTTTCCACTGTGCTAATTTTTCATTCTTTTTTTAAGTAGTGGGAAATTATATTCAGATATTTAATTCCATACTTGTGGTATAAAACAATTACTTTCAAAAGATGGAACATCTCTAAATGTTTTAATTTGGTTTCCATTTCCATTTGATTACAGTACATCATGATCTACTGCAGGTAAATTGATAATTCAAGTTTCTCCACAGAAAGGAATTTAGGACATCAGTCTTTTTAGTGTTTTCCCATTTTATTAATATATTTTCTCATTATCAACCATCTCTTAGTCTTTCTAAAATTCCATCGTTTATTGATTTTTTTGGTCAGTCTTTTATCTCTCTCTCGGAATCTTGTATCTCTTTTTAATTTTTTTGTGTCTACTAAACTTTCCCTTCTGGTTGCCTTTTGCCTCTTTCTGCCGCATTTTTTGAATACCCATCCACAAAACTTCCTTTTGTTTTTGACATGTCTTTTTAGATGGCCATTCATTGTGAAGGACAGTTTGTTGAGGGTAAAACTGCCCTCTGCAAAGTGGTGCAACGGACCAGACAGCGAATAGATACGTTGCTTAGCAAAACACACAGATACTCACAGACTCTGAACGTTTAAAGAAAAATAAACAGTCTTTACTTGTAGTAAAAAAAACAAACTTGGCTTCTCAAAACAAAGATAACACTTCTTCAAATAATCACGGTTCAACACAAAAACATAGTTTGCTTACAATTCCAGTTTTCTTCAGTAACACAGACACAGTTCCTTTCAGCAGTTCAACTTCTAATAGCAGGAGCAGAAGTGAATGAAATTCCTGCCTTCTTTTATGTCTGCTTAGCACAGCCCATTAGTCATCTTGTAGCAGTTAAAGTTACAGAACATAGTTTTCTATATATTACCTACCCAACCGTAGGATAAGCATCCAACAGAGTTAATTGAAATTTTAAATTGATTATAGCAATTTGTAAACAAAACTTGTGAAACAGTTTGATTTATACAATTTGTGCCCTTTATTTCTAACCAAACTGCTATCACTATCCTTGAGAAATCAAATGTACGAATCTCAAGATCAAATTTCCCAAGTTATCTAACAATCTAGTACAGTAGTCACCAACCAGTGGTCTGTGGACTTCTGGTGGTCCATGAGAAAATTTTGGTGATCTGCAGAAAAATGATTTGCATTTTTTATTTTGCACTAAATACTATTTATCTTTTTTAAAAAATCATATTAGTGGTCCGCGGGATTTAAAATTATGAATTTAGTGGTCCCTGAGGTCCGAAAGGTTCGTGACCCCTGATCTAGTACGAACTAGATTGTTAGATAGATAACTTGGGAAATTTGATCTTGAGATTCCGAACTAGATTGTTAGATAGATACCATAGATAACTTGGGAAACAGGGATTGACTGCTTCTTCCTATAGATTTTTTTCATGCTTGCAACCAATACATATCCAACCATCTGTGGCAGCTCCCAAAGTTTTTATTCTAAGGATTTCCTCTTAGACAGACCAGATTTCCTCAGGTGACACTATACACTTTAGGGCAGTCTTTCTCAACTGTAGCAACTTTAAGATGTCTGGACTTCAATTCCCAGAATTCTGGCAGGAGAATTCTGGGAATCAAAAGTCCAAAGTTGCTAAATTTGAGAAACACTGTTTTAGGGATAATTAAGCAGCTGCTCCAAATCACAAGACAATGATGGGGTTTTGTTTCTCATTTATTATGAATGAAGTGATAGCTTCATTATGTCTAATGGAAGGACCTCCTAGGTGCAATCTATGGCAACGATTGTGCATGCTTAAGAGCTATGAGATAACAGAAATCCAATAGTTAAAGCTGCTGTATTCTATTATAGCAGACTGAGAGAAAAACTGTCTGGCTTCGCTATTCAGTGATAGATAGTAAATGTGACTCTCTTTAATAATGCTTCAATTATGTAGCTGTCGTAATCTAAATATTCTCTAGCGTTTTCATCATGCAACCAGTTCCATTATCAGTTTTAAGATCAAGACTGTGACATGTGAAAATAATCTTTATTACAGCCACTTCCAGAGTATTGAAAAATCTGAATGCTAAGGGCATCAAAGCTAATCTGAGCAGTTGACCTTGGTCTTGTACATTTAGGCTAGCAAAAACATCCTACTGTTTTCTCGTAATGCTTTACAAAGAAGCAATTTTATCTTTTTTTGTTGATGTTCAAAGGCCCTCATCAGATTTATGTGTTAAGCAAGCAGGAAACTTATTGTACTTATGCTACTCTTATTCAAAAGTATATGGGACACAGATAAACAACCCAGGTGCCTGGTGGCCTCCAGTTATGTTGGATTATGAGGGTTATACATAGGTCAGAGTATCTAGAGATCACAAAGTTCGCCTATAAAAATAAGTGTAACAAAATGCTAGTTAAAAGAAGATTGCTAGTTAAAAATTACCTTACTGATACCGATCCTTGTGTACACATCAGTGATTATACAGGGTACGAAACAACATACTGACTGAAGATTTACCTTCAACTGCATTTCTCCTAGGTTTCCACTATTCGTAAATATCTACCTAATCTGCTACCAAGGAAAGTCAGTCAAAGAGTTCATCACTTGCTTGCAAAAGCATCCGGAACATATGTAAAATCTAATGCTGCAACCTACCAGTATAGCCTGTCTCGACTCAAGATTTGTCAGCCTGACATGGAGAATAAAGCCAGCAAGTAAGGTGTCTGTCAACTTGACAATGGAGAATTAAAGCAAGCGCGCAACATGCAAACAAACAAACAAACAAACAAAAAGCCTCTGGTATTAACTTCATTGTGGTCTTAAGGGAAATTACTCTGTATTCCTTTTGAGTAACCATCTGCACCGAGTGTGAAGACAAAACGGTATTACGCATTTCGGCATTGACTTCAGGAACCAATTATAGAAGACTCTGAAGTGGGAATGTCATTTTCATCACTCATGTTCTATACGAAGCTGAAATTGCAGAAAAGCAACCATCAAATTATAGCTCTTGTGAGAATTGTTCAGATTTTTGTGCTGAACACCCAATAATTGCATAATTTGTATCAAGAGCCACATTTCTTAATTCAGATTGAGTGAAGTAGAATTTAAAATTAGATGTTTGTGGCCAAAAAAACAACTACAGGTAGCCCTCCGTTACGACCACTTATTCAGCAACCATTCAAAATTGTGTCAGTGGTACTTATATAACCAGACCTTGAAGTTCTGGCTATCCCATGATCACATGAATGCAATCTGGGTGCTTGGCAACTGGCTCGCACTTACAATGGTTGCAGCTTCCCATGGTCATGTATTCACAACCTGTGTCCTTCCCTGCTGGCTTCCTATAAGCAAAAGCCAATGGGGAAGCTGGAAAGGAAGGTCAGCATTTCCTCTGGTAAATTGTTCCCAATCCCATCATTTTTTCGCCCTCAAGGATTTGCTATTTCACAGTGTGTTTGTGTTGGGCCGTAGCAGCTGTCTTCACAACTGATAGCAACCCATCCTCTATCTGATGGCCATGCTTGTGCTGCAGCAGTCACTCACCCACCAGCCACTTGTATAAGTTCTTGAATTTACTTGTGGGAAACTCATAAGGAGGTCCTTACAATTCTCGCTTAATGAGGGCAATGGGACTGTTGGGATTGCTGTTGCTAAGTGATGCACTCATGTGACATTGTGCTTTAGGGACTGCATTGCTTGGGAAATTCCAGCCCCAATTACCTTTGTTAATTGAGGACTATCTGTAGTTGGTTAAACTGCATATGTGATGTTGATCGCTAAACTCACAGTGCCATAATACAGTTTGTTGGCTAGTTTATACTCTTGAAACCAGCTGTGTCTTCCTTGACAAAGCATGTTTAAGCAAATAAGTGCTCGTAATCTATGACTTCTGCTTGCTACACAACATAACAATCTGTTGATACTACTCTAGTCATCTCAACTCATCAATTTCATTTCTATGTGTGTCTTACGGAGCAGTTATTCTGACATCTCCGGGTAATTTCAACTGGACTTAGCGACAAGAGGGGTGCAAAACTGACAAGACAAAGTGTTCTATTTCTATTCCTTTTACTTTATATTCCAAAATTTCTAGCCACTGACTAGCTTGTTCTGCGCTTTTTAGCACCAGCCTTATTAAAACTCAACCTCTTTCCTCTGCCCATCTTAAACTTTCAGTATTTATATCAGGGGTGTCAAACTCGATTTCATTGAGGGCCACATCAGGGTTTGACCCCAGGAGGCCATGGTGGGTGTGGCCAGCGGGACGTCACTTGTGTCAGGGGCGACTGTGGCCGCCCAAGCGCTCTGCCAGCGAAATCCCAAGCTCCGTTTTCGGCTTTGATAACTTCCTGCAACCCTCTGCCAGCGAAAATGGAGCTTGGGAGGAATGCCCACAGCCCTCCCAAGCTTCATTTTCACTGGCAGAGGCACCACGGGCCAGTCCTTTGCTGTTTCCAGGGCGGCCCTGAGGGCCAGATCTAAGCACCCGCAGGCTGGATCTGGCCCCCCGGGCCTTGAGTTTGACACCACTGGATTTATATCATGCCTTTTTTCTCTTTGTCCACTGTCTTAACTCAATTTTTTTTTTGTTTCATACACGTTAACTTTTCCTCTTTAATATAACCCCCAAAGACTCTGCCAAATTCTGCTGAAAATATAAACCCGCAAAGGAAAATAGATACATCACACTAAGAGACAACAAGGCTTACAGCATTTTTAATTAGGATAAATTCCAATGAGGTTATTTAAAATATTATTCTGGATCATACAATTTTGATATCAGTATTTTTTTTAAATAATGTCATTTATCATTCTACGGTATTTTTTGAAAGCAGCTGTGAGCATCTTCCATACTTGTCGCAGTTTATAAACAAATGCGTAAGTAAATAAGAGAAAACATTAACACTTTTTAGAAATAAATTTCTTTAATCCACACAACAATGTTCCCATGATGAACAGTATACTAAAAGAACCTTCCACAAATTTTAACATATGCAATGGAAATATTTTGAACATCAAATAATTAACCAGCTTTTAAATCAACTCACAAATAAATAGAAAATAATTCTGTATTTACATCATGTAGCAAATATTAATTTCAATAATCTGAAACAAGTTTCAGTTTGAGAAATGAGAATTACACATGTAAAAATTAACATTTGTATTTCAGAGCATCAAACTACACACACGTACAAAGTGAACTGACACACAGCGTTTTCCAGAAATTCAGGGAAATTAAAGAACATCAATAATGTTACATTTTATAGACGTGGGGTTCATATAAAAGCAAAATTTCTGAATTGGTGAATCACTTCTTTGTTTTCCCAAAGATATAATTACAATAGCATGAAATGCTGAATTAAGGTTAAATTTAAGTTTGTTCAATTGAGTCCTTCCCACCGAAATGGTACCTATTTATCTACTAGCATTTGCATGCTTTTGAACTGCTAGGTAGGCAGGAGCTGGGGTAAGTAATGGGAGCTCACCCTATCACATAGCATTCGGGTCTGGAACCCGGGCTGCCAGCTTTCCAGTTGACAAGCTCAGTGTCTTTAACTGCTAAGAACATCAAATAATAAAATATCCAGCATAATTATTAGTTTTAAAATCCTAAGTAGGCTGAAAGACTTGGTGTGCTTGAAGCCAAAGTAGGCAATTATTATTAAAAAGTTTACTTCTGTGTAGGAAGCCATTACTCTGACAAGATATTCAATTTATATAAACTAATTCCTTCTCTTTTTTTTTCCTAAAAAAAAAAAAAAAGCAGCCATCTCTTATGCCTTTTAGACACAGCATTGGTTTCCAAATGATCTCATAACTGGTGACACTCTATGGCAGGGTTTGGAAAATTGTATTTCATGACTTTCAAGCATTCTGTGACCGACCTGAAGGGGTTCCATGAGAAACCAAGGAGGGGGAAAAATTCACGTTCACTTTTTGAGCAAAATTTACGGATATTTTAAAAAAACAACACTACAGGTAGTCTTTGACTTACAACTGTTTGTTAAAGATAGTTCAAACTTACATCGGCCAGGGAAAAAGTGCTTTATAACTTCTATTTGCCCTTACGACCGTCATGCCATCCTTGCAGTCACGTGATTGCAGTTCAGGTGCTTGAAAATCAGCTCACATTTATGAATGCAGTATCTTGCGGTCACATGATTGCAATTCGTAACTTTTTTTGCTGGTTTCCAGCAAAAAAAGCATGCACTGGAAAAGCCAGATTCCCTGAGTGATTTGTTTAATGCCTATGGTAAAAATGTTCATAAATTTGGATCCAGTCACGTGACTCAATTTATGACTGCCGCGACTTACAATGGAAATTCCAGTCCCAACTGTGTCATAAATTGAGGACTACCTGTAACAGATCATGTAGCTGAAAATGTTTGAAAACTCTTGTATTTAAAAAAGACTGCTTAAAAGCAGGTCTGTTATCTGAGATAGTGTCAACACTTATTTTCTGCACTGATTAAAGACTGTATGAAGGCTCATTGGTTTGCTGAAGTATTTCCTACTAACACTGGAAAGTGATTTAACTTTGCGATTGGATCATTAACTGCTATCATGTTCTCCCCCATACAAAGAATCTCATCTTAAAGCAACCACACGTCTGTATTGTACAATGTATTGATATACCGATGTTTACATACAAGAGTAAAAAAGTCAAAATCTCTTTAAACGTTGTGTGCTGTCACATCATACTTTCTTCTTCCTAGCCATTTCTCAAAAGGATCAGCAAGAATCCAGCAACAAATTAATCATTTCTCAGTCAAGAATGCCATGGCATTATTTTCACAGCAACATTACATCAACAGAGATATAAATACTTACAAAACCAAAAAACAAACAAACCCTACTGCAGTGCAATTTTTTTTTACTTCAAGACAGACAGGGAAAAAAGGTTCAAGTATTTAAAACATCCTTACAAGATGCCATTTACGTTTTACATTGCACATATAAAAATAGTTTGTCTTCCTTATTTTTATAGATCTGTTTCACACTAATATTTGAGCTGTATAACCATTTGGATTAGAAAATGAACTCCTATTCCTCATTCGAAGTATACACATTTCTCAAACCTAATATTTTATTGCTATTCTTGTGACTTCCATCCCACCGTCCTTCCCCTTTATTTAAGGCTAATACAGGGTGTGTAATATAAGCAAATTCTGTCATGCATTCTTCAGTCAGCCTTTGCATGTTGTGGAGCAGCGGTCCCTAACCTTTATGGCTTGGCGGCCTGGCTGGGGTGGTGGGGGGAAGGGGATGGTTTGTATGAGCAGTAGGGGCACACACGCAGCTCCATTTGTGCAAGCAGTGGGCACATGTGCCTGCCGCTCCCGCAAATGGAGCTTCACCTGTGAGCGCCTGCCACTTCTGCAAGTGGAGCTACATGTGCGCACACGCTTGGCCACCGCTTGTGCGGCCTGGTTCTGAATCGGCTGTGCCCCACTAGTGGGCCACAGCCCGGGGGTTGGGAACCCCTGTTCTGGAGAGAAGCCACTTAATTTTCACCATTTTCTTTCTAAAAATAAGGACTACTGTAGAAAAAATGTTATCCAACAGGCACTGTTATAGATTTTCCTTTAGGAGCAACTATACTCTGGTTTGAGAGAAGAGTTCTTAGGATGGATCCCATCTAAGATTCTTATTTAGTCCCATAGTCTAGCCTGCTTCTACTGGAACATTTCACAAGAAGCTTTAGGAGCATTCCTAGTCACCATCTCTATTAGTCACAGCTTTCAGTGAATATGAATCACCATTAAAACTACATAACATTTGCTTCCCAATCTGAAAACAGCATCAACCAGTTAAAAGAGAATACCACAACTTGGTCCTTGAACACTGTTCATTTTCCAAGGAATTGGATTATAAAAGTTATTCACTAAATTTTTATATAATGTGCAGTTTTCTGTGACACAGTAATTAATCTGTGCCTTGTAAACAGTATATATACGTTCCAATAGAAGAGAATATATGTAATCAGGGTTGAATTGTGGAGTCCTTGGTGCTCTCTGTGCTTGGTTGTTTCTTTGCAGTTGTTTCATTACCTGATTACGTACCATCATCTGTGCTAGTGAGTGTGGGGTTTGCTCCTTGTTTATACACAATTTATGTGTAAGAATGGTAAGAGCCACTATGTAGGACAGACAGGTAAAAAACTAGCAGAGCACATCCATGAATATCAACTAGCAGGCAGAAGACATGATGAGCACTCCTCACTCTCACAAAATATGGAGAAACTCAACCATGGTTTCAACTGGGAAACTTTGAGCATCCTAGACCAATCTAAAACCCAAAAGACTGGAGAATTCCTGGACGCTTGGCATTTAGACAAAGCAGACATCCATCAACAAACACATGAAGGTAAGCCACATTTATACACATTCAAGAGACAATAAAAAAAGCTAAAAAGGAAACATCCCCCCCTCCAAGAACACATCCTTTCCAATAACCAACACCCACATAAGCAGGAATTAATACCAGACAGAAATAAAGCAGAAAACAATACTCTAATCAAAGAATTACCAAGGAGAGAAATCACACTCCCACAAACCTTGTAGGGCAAGGTAGTGCTTATAAACAGGGAGCAAACTCCACACTCTCTAGCACTGATGATGTTATCTAATAAGGATAATGAAATGTCTGTGAGCAAACAACCAAGCTTAGAGAGCACGAAGGATTCCATGATATATTCCGTAATGTAAATTTAAAGTTAACTGTTCTTTCATCCAATAGCCAAATGGGCTCCCTTGATAATAAAACTGTAGTTTTGCTACAAAGGAATCCATATGTTATCTGTAATGTTTTCCAATTGCTATCACCTTTTCGCTAAGCATTATGCACTACAATCTAATGGTGAAATATGTCATCATTTCAATCTCTTTAAGTCAACTGGGATGGGGTGGGATGATGCAATCCAATCTTTGCATGTTTCGCAACCCAAGGGAAATATCTACGAAAGTAATTAATTCCTCAAATTACCTGGTAAGAAACAAAGTATGTAGCTCAACCAAATTCAGTTACTCAGAAATACTGTACTATAGGTTCAACTGAATTCAAGAGAGCTTACATCCCAGCAGGCATATTTTGTTTCTAGCCTTTGAAGAAAAAAGCCATTAAATAATAGTTTTGCTTACTGTTAAAATGAAGATATAAGTATTTTCATTCAAATATTCTAAAAGTGCATACTGTGCAGCTGTTGAAAAGCTCTTTCATATTTTGAGCAGCAAAAGCTTCATAAAAATAACCCGGAATCATCAGAGTCTTCAGAGTAACTCTGGAAGCATTTTAACACCAAAGCCAAGACTCTTTTTTTTAAAAAAAAAAAATTCTACATTTAATGCTGAGTTGTTCTTAACAGTAATGGCAACTGATTTTATGGCTTTTGACTAAAGGAAACTGAGGTATATCTCTGTCAAAAGATGCCAAAACAAAAACCCAACTATCAAATTATATCATAGAGAATTGCACATAATAAAAACTTCATCCTGAATAGTGGCACCTGAAGGCATTCAACTACACTAACAAATTTGTTCCTCCAAATTTGTTATCATTGTGAAAATTACGTATTTCGGTCAACACTAGTTCTTCATTGAGATAACCTTCTAAACGTTGTCTCTATTTCTCTAGAAACTTTAGTCAGCCTTTCCTAGCTGGACTCTTTCCAAAATGTAGACGATGTGACTGCCTTTTTGGATAGCTGCCTTCAAGATGCGCTCAGCTGTAGGGGACCTTTGACAAACAATATGCACATTTTAACTCCATGCACATAGAAGAAATCCAGCTAGGAGTGGAAACAAGTTCACCATCAGTAGCCATAGAGTTATTACCAGGCTGGGAGAACAAGAACACAGATCTAAAATAGAAGAAAATAGTACAAAGAAAAATAGTACAGAGAAAAATAGTTTTCATGTACTTTGAAGAGCATTTAAAATATTTATTATCTCCTGCCTCTCAAAAGGAGTTAGAAGTTGAGATGCTTCAGGAATTTAGGAATTAATTTATCAAATGAAAGACTGAAAAAAATAATTATAGGTTGTTTGTGTGAATCTGTCAGAAATATTTAGAGCAAGGAAGAATAGCTACAATAGTTCTTATCCTCTGCCTAAGTGATTGAAGCTTAGGTCATTATTTCTGTTAAAAATCAGAAATAAATATAATTAAATGGAGCAATTCTAAAAACTTTTATTCTGATTTTACTTACCAATAGGTGCAACTCTTGTTAAATTAGCAACTGGAGGGGGATCTTGTTCAGGCGGACAGAAATCGCAGAAATCCAAGCAGGCTGGGCAAATTAGATTCCCCATATGTAGCCATCCATTCATCTGAATATTCACTGCGAGAATTTGACCTGAGCGACTGCACAAATATGCCATGTCCTTGATCCAAACAGTCAGTCCATGGGGAGAGCAAGAAACCTTTGGAATAAAACCAAACATGATATGCTTACAAGTAGATTGCATAGAGAAACTATTTCATTATAGCAGCTGCTTTTGAACCTTTCATTATGTACTTTGTTTCCGATCTCATTATATAAAGAAAAATGCAAAATGTATTGGCACTTTCCAAATAATTACTCCTAAGAACAATGATGAACCTGCTCTATTTTTTCACCTTAGTATTAGTAGCTGATCCAAACACGTTATCTTCCACATGCATTTGGTACAAGGTTTATGAAGGTTCAATCACCACGTACATATACGTGAGAAGAAAATATTTTACAAATTACTTAATCTGTAAATTGATAATTGTGTAGTTTTTTCCTTCAGCATTCTTAGAAAAGTCTAGTCATATAACACTTTGCCTCAGTATAGAAAACATGCAACAAATAATCAAATTAATAATCTAATTATTTTAATGTAACAGTGGTACAAAATACAAAATTAAATTAAAATGTGTTGCCGTTACCTGATAACAGCCACTACCCCAATCAGGATAACTCAGTTTCTTTCTGCACTGTTCCATAATGAAAGCTGACTTTTGAATGAGGCAAATGGAATTTGGCCCATATTTCTCTGCACCATAGTTTCTGAAAGGATCTGAAAAAAAAAATGCAGTTTTCTGCTAAAATCTATCAGATTATAGAGACAACAAAATTATCAGATATTGCTAGGATATTTACATCCTAAGCAGACCTGGCAGTAAATTATTTTTCTAACTTGTTCACCAACTTTATCATTTATTCAGTGTATACGTCCACTAGGCAGGCAGCTCAGAAAAAATGTGACCTTTTGAAGAATGCGTACATGATTTATGACTGGATGTAGCAAATTTAAAATCAACAGCATTGTACAGTTATTAAAATAAATATATTCCCATGGCGAGACATATGTTCAGCATGGGCAGGCATTTCTATGTAATGATGATCGATAGCCATTGTCATCATGTTCTCTGTAATGCTAGCACTAATTGATAAATCAAATTTTAGTAAATGAGCAAGCAATGTGTAAGCATCCAAGATATAAATGCATTTTTCAATTTCTGTTCA